CAAGAGGGATCTGTGAGACAGTGAAGACAGGACTTGTTAACTCACAAGTTGGGACTAGATGAGCTTTATCCTCTCCTAAAAGATAATTACATCTGGCATATACCTCAATCATTTGACTTCAAACCTCACAATTTTTGTTGCCCCTCAATCCCTAAGACCTCTCTTTCCCAGACATTTGTTGTCCCCATGACCCCCAAACTAGATTCTCCAACCACACAATATATCCCAGCCAAAACAAAGGATTGTATTTACTAGCTCCTTAAAAACACCAGGAAATTCCCAATCCTATAACTTTGTTCATGTGATTTCTTCTACCTTTAATTTCTCTCCCTCCTTCTACATATTCGAAGTGTCGCCATTCTTCACACCCCTGTTCAAGTACCACTTTTTCCCAATGCTAGATTTCCCAGAAGCCCCAACTTGAAGTAAGATTACTTCCCAATACTCTCCCTTTTCTCTAAAACATTTTTTAACCATATAATTATTCCTTATCTCCTCTGATAAACTATATACTCCCTACAGCATACATACCCAATTTATTTTTGTATTACTTCCTCCTCCTTTCATAGGTAGTTGAAGATCTTGATAAATAATATATGGCAACATATAGTATAATGGCTAGGAGCATAGACTCTGAAGACAGACTACTTGAGTTTGAATCTAACACTGCCATTAGCTATGCGACCATGGGCAAGTTACTTAACCTCTCTGTGCTTCGATACGTTTATGTAAAAATGGAAATAGTAATAGTAGATATTTCATGAGGTTGTCAAAGGACTTGGCTTAGAACAGTGTAAGCACCATAAAAGTGTCTGTTGGTGGGAAAATACTGAATATTCTGTGATAGTTGAGTAAAGCTTTATTTATTCATGGAAAGCAAAATGTCAAAAGTAAAGCCAGTTTCTAGGTACTAAGAGGTACATACAAATTCTTCCTAAATCCTCCATGTTTGCCCTAAGGGTTAGCTGTGCCCTTTAAAATCTCCCTTATGTTAATAGTTCTGTTTTAGTTTGACATTTCAATATTCTGAGAAAATATTTAGTATAGCTTCCACCTAATTGATCTTCTTGCTTCCGTTTTATCTAGTCTTTCTAAAATCAATATTCAATGTTTTTCCTCTGCTAGAAACCCTCTCCATGCCATCCCCCAAGTTCAGCTCCTTAGCGTTTCATACAAAATTGTCCTAATATGGCTCCAGCCTAATCTCCAGCTTCATCTCTCAATGCTTCTTACCATGAAACCTAATCACCTGGCATACCTCAAAGGCTTTTTGTATGTCATTCCTTTTGCTAGAACATCCCTGAATTAGTTTGCTAGGACTGCCATAACAAAATAGCACAGATGCCATAACAAAATACCACAGACTGAGTAGCTTAAATGAGAGAAATGTATTTCCTCACAGTTCTGGAGGCTAGAAATCAAATCTCAAATAGTTGGCAGGCTTGGTTTCTCCTAGGGCTTGCAGATGCCCACCTTCTCAATGTGTTCTCACATATTTTTTTTCCTCTGTGCACACATCCTTGGTGTCTCTTTTTGTTTCTAAAGTTCTTTTTATAAGGACACAAGTCAGAATGAATTATGACCCACCCTAAATGCCCCATTTAAGTCGATCACCTCCTCAAAGGCCCCATCTCCAAATACAGTCACACTCTGAAGTTACAGGGATTAGGACTTTAACACACAAATTTTGGTGGGGCAAAATTCAGCCCCCAAAAATCCCTTTTCCTTTTCTTTGCCCAGGCTAATTCCCGTTTGTTTTTCTAAGACTGGACCAAGCCTTCTCACCCTACAGGCAGAGTTCACTACCCTTTGAACCTCTGTATGCTGCATTCTGTATACTGCTATCCTATTAATACACTGTAACAATTGTGTCTTTCCCTCTTCAGACTGTGTTTCTTAAAAGCAGGGGCTAAATCCCTAGCACTTAGCACAGTCTCTGGCCTATCAAAGGTATTTAATAAAGATTTGATTATTAAGGGAAAGTAGAAGAAAGAAGAAGGGCTTTGAAGAAAGGCAAGAGTGGGTTCAAATCTTGGTTCAACCATTTACTTATCTTGTAGCTTTGGGTAGTCACCAAATGCTGAACTTACATTCTATTTAAGGTAGTTGTACTGATAAATGATCTAATTGTAATAAAAACACCCAGTTGTGGGGTTGGTTCACAGTAGGTGCTCAGTAAATGTTAAAGATTCTGGGCTTGCCTGGGTTTGACACCCAGTTCCACCACTTTAGTAGATGAATGACCTTGGGTATGTTAACTTACCCTCTGCTTCAGTTGCCTATCTACCAAAACACCTCCTAGTGCTATTGTGAGGATAATATAGGTAAAATGTTAAGATAGGTATCTAACACATAGTAAGTATTACATAAATGTTTCCTATTACTACATGAACACTGCAGGTCTGAGCAAATATGACTGGAAGCCATGAATAATTTAGTCCCTTTATTTACTAAGTCATTTAAAATGTATTACCTTAATGCCTCAGATTTCTTAACAACTAAACAAGATGGCAACTAAAGAGGTTCAAAAACTTACAGATAATATAAAGAGCTCAAAATAATCATGAAATAATATATTACTATCTGTCTCCATTCCTTATATTGGTGTTTAACATATTTTGGATATTGATGTAAAATTTTTAAGAAACTAGTTTTTCTACTCTTTGTGACTACTGATGTTAACCATGATTTCCAGTTTCCAGTGGAAAAATAATACTCTTTGGCTCATATTTTCAATTGTAGAATCACTAAACCTTGGAACTAGAAAGGACCTTTGAGATGAAAATCCAATCCTATCATGCCTTACACACGTAAACTGTGGTGGATTTGGAATGGGCTTTTGGGGTCGAAATGAGCAGCTCTGTCGGGGTACAGGAATGGCAAGCAAAGAGAACACTTTGTTCAGAAGTACTAGAGCAGGGGTTCAGAACTTCTTCTAGATATTCAAGGTGTATAAGGAACCAGTATTAGGAAATAATGCTGGAAAATAGTTTTGAATCATCCAAACTTTAAGGTAATTTCTGATGTAGGTACAACTTACCCGACCTGTAACTTTGACGCAAGGCAGATCTAGGTTTGAATCTCCACTTGTAACGTAAACAAACCCTTTGAGCCTCAGATTAGCACAACAGGGTTATTATAGTGATTGAGTGAACGTATGTAGAGCTCATGACTGGTGTGCCTGGCTGATTAGAAGTACAGCTGACTTGAACAGGCATTTGAACTGTAAGGGTCCACTTATACACAGATTTTTTTCAATACAGTACAGTAAATGTATTTTCTTTTCCTTATAATTTTCTTGACTTTTTCTTTTTTCTAGCTTACTTTATTGTAAGAATACAGCATGTAATACATATAACACAAAATATGTTAGTCAACGGTTTATGTTATCAATAAGGTTTCTGGTCAAACAGGCTATTAGTACAGTTTCTAGAGTGTCAAAAATTATACACGGATTTTCAACTGTACAGGAGGGTGGGTGCCCCTAACCACCCCCCCCGTTGTTCAAGGGTCACATGTACTCAAATGTTTGTTCTTTCTTATGACTCCTTCAACATATGAATAAAAAACTGTAAAGTAACAAAACACTGTCTTTCATACATGTGACTGCTGAATGTCTGAGACTTGTTGAACATTAATTTTAAAAATAGAAAGCTGGAAAAGCTGCTGAGATGTTAAAGTGTCTTCATCCCTGCCCTTTCTCACCACCAAATGTCCTTCACAGTTTGTTCTGAAGTGTCATGTCAACGCTATTAACGTGCTATTTGGAGATCACTGTAACTCAGACTTCCAATTCTACAGCAAAGGTATGAAGGTCAGGACAAATTTTCCCGAAATATATTTTTTTAAAAACTGGAAGAGTACATGTCATTTTATTTCTGTGGTCTATTCTAGCTTAATGAATTTCCAGTGAAAAGTTACTGCTTCGGGATTTTCTTTCTTTCTTTCTTTTCTGGCTCAGAAACTGCAGGTTTTAATATAAGCTTCGTGAGCAACGAGCTGAGTTCACCATTATTATTATGACCCAGAACTCTTTTAAGTGTTTGGGAGATTATCTTTACGCTGTTACTAAAAAGGACATCTGCCAACATCTATTATTTACGCTTGAAACTAAGTTAACCGTTTCTTTTAAAGCATATGTGGTATCTGGCTCAAAATCAATCACAAGAAAAGCCTAATTCAGCACAGAAAGAGCTCTTTGCAATATCCTCTCCTTTCGCTGACATCACATATGGTGACCGAGGCTAAAGGTTTAACGTCCAGACACTAAAGCCGCTCATCGCTCAAGGATGGGGTTCCAGGTGGATGCTCTCCGGCAGAGAATGAGATACTGCAATCCTCAGAGGCGCAGCTGGGATGAACCCACAGACCAGAGCCCGGCGCCTATCACTTCGCACCCACACTTGGGAAACAAACCACTTCCCACCGCGGGGCGGGGACCCGACGAAGACCCGGGCCTGCGATACCCAGCCTCCGGCTCTGATGTCCGCGCGTGACCTCCGAGGACCGGGAGGAGCGCGGGGCGGGGAGGCTCCTCCGCCTTCAGGAGAAGTTGGCCAGGGCAAATTCGAGTCACGCGCGGGAATGTTACTCACAGGCATGGCCCGACGTCCTCTGTCCTCCGCCCGCGCTCCCTCAGGGAATAGGATCTAAAGCGATGTCAGCCTGAGAGCTGCAGCCGAAGCGGCCGGCGCTGCCAGTAACCGCCCGGGCGTGGCAGGGACGTGCGGGCGACTTCACAACATCATCACTCGGCGACTTCGGTTTTGCAGCGAGGCCGGCTGTCTAGCAGCCCCACACATTGGAGAAGAGCGGAGACCCACTCTCCCAGCAGCCTCCACGGCGCCAGCGCGCGACCTGCCGGGAATTGTGGTTTCCTGTCCGCCCGCCCCCTCACCCTTCGGAGCTGTTGCGCGTTTGTCCCGCCCCCAAGCTAGAAGGCCCCGCCCCCTAGCAGCCTGGCCCTGGGGCGGGAGGCGGGGCCGCGACCCTGGGGCGAATCCACTCCGGGCGGACTGCCTGGGGCTGGGGCAGAGTTCCAGGCCCACAGCCCCAGTCCGGGTCGCGCCGCCTTGCTGCGCCCCGCGGCCCGCGCTGGGAGCGGGTCTTGTGCGCTCGAGGTGCCCCACGGCGGGCTGGGCTCCTGGGGCCCATAGGCCCCGCGCCGTTGGCCGCCTGAGGAGAGCCGCTGGTCGTGGTCGACGCCAGGGTAATGAGGGGAGGACGGGCCGGGGAGGGGGAGGTGGAGGGCTGGGTCGGGGACTTGAGGGAGCGCGGCTTGTACCGCGCACGCCTCGGGAAGCCCGAGGCTAGAACTCGCCCCCTTACCTCGAACCCAAGCCCGGGCAGCCGGCGGAGCGGTGGCTGGAGTCCGGCGTGGCGTGGCGTGGCGTGGCGTGGCGAGCGGTCGCTGAGCCCCGGGCCGCCCCGTGGCGGAGGCACCTGCATTCGGCGGAGGCACCTGCATTCAGCGTAGGCGGTGGTTGCCAGGTGCGCTGGGCGCTCCTTCCCGAAGTGCTCTCTTCCCCCACCTCTCTCTCACCTTTGGCAGCGCTCCCGAGCCTGGAGGAGTTTCCGAACAGAAGACACCCTCTGGCCGAGGTTCTGGGTACCACCTTCGGCGAGTTCGCTATCGCGATCCCCCAAAGCAGGACTCGGAAATAACCTCTTACAAAATTAAATGCTCCAGCTTCGTTTTGTTCTCAGTATTTAAATTCAGCGTCGTGTTTTTCCTCGTGGCTTTGTTGTGTCGAATACCTTTTTCCTCAGAACTTGGCCAGGATTTTGAGACACAGCGTCTGCCTAGCACAGAGTCCGTCCGGCGCACAGTAGGCACTCAGGGAATATTTTTTGAAAGCATGAGTCACGATACTAAGTTTGGAAAATCTTACGGAGTTGTGCGTCGCTATAATTTTTAAGATTTTATGGCTTCTCAAGATCTCTTTGAAAATTACAGTAATTTTAAGGCTCAGCAGAGTTAAGTCGTTTTTTGTTTTTTGGGTTTTTTTTGCATTCCCTCTAACAATAGCCTCTGTTGGATGCCTAAATTAACTCAAAATCCGAGTTCTGTAAATAAATGCGCCCTATGATTTTCACAGAAATTAACCTTTGATATTAAAGCCTTTGGACGAACCATTCTGTAATGGAGCAAATTTATTTATAAAGCTTTACCCTAATTAGCTTGTTAGACACAAATGCAAGGGACCACACTGATGTACTTGTAATATATTTAAAAATATAGGTCTGTAGTATGATTTAAGAAGGATTTATATTCGTATCTAGTGAAAGAGCATGCAGGAGAAAATTATGACCGCGAATCTATCCCTCCCACCCCACCACCATCTTTACCAGGCGCAGCTGCTGCCTTGATCGCAAAATGTCTTGTAAAATCATCTCTTAATCGTCTGGCATAACTAAAGCAGAAATCTGTGGGATTAAATCAGCCCCGTGGGACAACTTCTTTCGTACTATCAAGTCTCATAAATCGGTCAGTTTCTTCTGAGTTTTTCTGAAATATAGATAATGGAATGGAATTTAAAGTTTTTTCTTGTTACTTAAGAACTTGCTGATATGAGGTGGAAAAAGAAAAACAAAATCCTGATAGCCAGAAAACTGCGTTAATCACGACATCCCTAATCCTTCTGTCTGTGGGAATGTAAACTGCCTTGTCTGCCCTGATCATCAGTGAGTGTCCCCAGTGCCTGACCATGGTAGCCATTCATTAAACACATGTGGAATGAATACTTGGCTGCTTCAGATTAACAGTGTAATGATTTTCTACAGGTGTATGGTTTCTTCGTTTATTTAGACATTTCCTTAGATTAGATTAGGGGAGGTGAGAACTTTACTGGATCAAAAGGTGTGAGTATTTTCATGGTCATTGAAACATTGCCAACTTGCTTTCCAAATGAGCCTTACCTTTTTGAGCTGCCACCAGTAATATTTGAGTGTACCTTTCAGAGCATCCACTCAAGTTCTTATATTGGTACAGTGTTTGGTAGTTATGAGCCCTTTCAGATGAAGTATCTCATTTGATCTCAATCATCCTGGAAGGTGGGCAGGGCAGGTATTGCTTTCCCCCTTTTGTAATACAGCAAGTGACATGGCACTGCCTTAAACTGATGATAATGAATGGCAGGTGACAAAATAATCATACCTTTTCAGGTTTTTCTTCCTCCTGTTCTCTACTTTCGGTTTGTAGTGAATATCCTGAATAAATCCATATCTTTCCTTAGTAAAATTGGATACTGCTCTATAATATCTATTGTTTACACAGTCTTCCCTTTCTCTTTCATTTTGCTTAGATATTTATCTTGATTAAACTTGGGGATTTCATTAAAATAACCACAATTAAAAAAAGAGATGATATTGGTTAGGTATAACAAACACCCAACACTAGAAAGTTTAGAACATTGCCACCCTTTCTGTTAGGAAAAATCTGGAAAGTTTTGGTGGTGCCTTTGTAGTTCCTTGAATCTGAAGAAGTTGCTATTTTAAACTTCTGAATCTGTTGCAGCGTCTTCATAAACTATTGAGATTAATACTCTACTAATGAAAGTGGACAGGAATTATTTGTATAATCTTCATATCTTTCATACTTGTCAAATTCTAGGAAGAATAGAATTGAGAACTAAGAATCATAAGGTAAATATTCAGCCTCAAAATATTATTTTTATGTGGAACTGAAAAGAAATTTCTCTTTTTTAAAAACACATGACAAGGAGGGGCACCTGGGTGGGTCAGTGGGTTAAGCGTCTGCCTTCTGCCCAGGTCATGATCCTGGGATCGAGGCCAAGTCTGGCTCCCTGCTGGGGGTGGGGTGGGGTGTCTGCTTCTCCCTCTCCCTCTACCCCTCCCCCAAGTCGTGCTCACTTGCTCTATCTCAAATAAATAAAATCTTAAAAAAAAATGGCAACAAGAAAATGTTATTCCTAGTGTGTTACTAATCCAGAGACTTTCCCAAATTTGCTAGTCATGGACCCCAAATGATTTAATAGGTAATTAATGCAATCAGGGAGGTTTGGAACCTTCAACATTTCCTTATAACTGGAATCATTGGAAATTATTGGGATATATTTGTAAATGGGTCCAACATTGATTTTCTATATTGGTTTCACATTTGCTTAAGTTTCTTTAAAAAAAGTACAGAAAAGATAGGGAAGGAGAGATGCAGGTATATTGGCCTTTGGAAATACTCAGAATTTTCCTTCAACTTAACTCTGCCTTTCTGTTGTGACGTCAGATCCCAAATTGTGTTCTGTAAACAGAAATGCTCTGTAAAGACACTTTTTAGAAATGTCTCTAGTCCTTGCATCAAAGAATAACTGCCTAAATATCATATGGGTTTATAGCAACTAGTTCAGGGAACTTTTATGTAAATCTAAATTATTTTGCTTTTGTTTTTTATAATAGGATATTTCTTCATCTTGAAGATAAAGCAAAAATCTTTTTTGGAGTAGATGGATTTTTGACACTCTGTGAACTAAAACGATTCAATGTCTCTCTTGGTAAGTTTGTGTTAACATAGATTTAATTTCGGGGCACCTGGGTGTCACAGTCTGTTAAACCTCTGACTCCTGGTTTCAGCTCAGGTCATAATCTCAGGGTCATGAGATTGAGCTACAGGTCAGGCTCCATGCTCTGCGAGGAGTTGGCTTGGGAATCTCTGCGCCCTCCTTCTCTCCCTGTGCGCTTTGTCTCTCTCTCTCAATCTCTCTCAAAGAAGTAAGGGGCGCCCAGGTGGCTCAGTTGGTTAAGTGTCTGCCTTCAGGTCAGGTTATGATCTCAGGGTCCTGGGATCGAGTCCCAGATCGGGCTCCCTGCTCAGTGGGGAGTCTGCTTCTCCCTCCCATTCTCCCTCTGTGCTCTCTCTCTATTTCTCAAATAAATAAATAAAATCTATAAAATGAAATAACATAAGTCTGTAAAAAAAAAAAAAAGCATAGGTCTAATTTTGTGCCATCAGAGTAGTTAAATGTTAGTGCAGAGCCATAATTGAAGGCATATTCTGATGGGATATTGTTATGCTGAGATGTTATTTTGACCTGAATGGCTTCAGAAAGAAATGAGTTAAATTCTCATTGAGTTTTTGTTGCTTTAAAAAAAGAGCTTCTCCTTTACTTTTCTAATATATTCATTATTCTTTTCCTTTGTCCCATACCCACTTGTTTTCATACATTTACTGTACTTATATATGCCTATCCCATCTAGTTATCTATGCCTCATCCTTAAATCTTTCAAAAATCCCTTTTATAAATTTCCACTAGACCAAAGGCAAGCAAAATGATATTAAAAATAAGCCTCTTAACAAGACAAAAAATATTTGGATCAATGTATAATATATGTATAGAGTCTAACTTGTTTTTTGTTTATATTAGATCCATGGTATCTAGATTGAAAACCAGAAATCATATGGTAAAAAATATTCAACCTACAGAAAATATTATTTAGATCAAGTAGTTTCAAGTCTTTCATCATATCTTGTATAGAACATAATACAATATCTGACTTTATTAAAGTAATGATCTTTTAAAAAGTGATGGGTGCATTTGATGATTTGCAGTTTATAAATACTTTCATATATTATATCTCTTCCAGTCTTCAAAATTGTAAGTGATCGCAGGGCAGGTGGTTTAATCCTTATTTTGAGTTTGGCCCAAGATGGCAAAGAATTGCCAGGGCTCAAACTCATATCTGCCAAGCCAGTCCATCATTTGCCAAGTCTGAGAGGCAGAACTATGCAGTAAGAAAATACAGAATGCATTTGTTGGATTTATTGTATGATTTGTTTGGTATATGGAAAATACAGAATGCACTCACTTTATTTTTAAAGTAAGGTTTTTCTACTTGAAAGGGGAGCTTTAGGGGCACCTGGCTGGCTCAGTCAGGAGAGCATGTGACTCTTAATCTCGGGGTTGTAAGTTCAAGCCCCATGTTGGGTGTAGACATTACATAAAAATAAAACCTTAAAAAAAAGGTGAGGAGCTTTATCTCTGTGGGAAGTTGTTACGAAATACCTCATTTTCTAACGCAGAGATGAACAAACATTTTCTATAAAGGGTCAGATAGTATTTGTGTGCTCTATGGTCCCTGTAACAAATTACTCTTCTGTTGTGTGTGAAAGCAGTCATAGACAATATGTAAACGAATAAAAATGAATGTGTTAGTGTTCAAGTAAAACCTTATTCACTAAAACAGGTGGTGGGTCAGACTGACTTGTGGACTGTAGAGTTTGTGGACCCCTGTTCTAAAGGATTACTTAAGATTAACAATTTTACATCAGTTTGTAAATTGGATGAGATGTAAAAGGGCATTTGATAGATGAAGATCCTAAGATTTAGAGGGCTGTGTGGATTCCCAGAGCTTCTGAATTTTGGAAAAAGAATATTTATTCTATTATTCTATAATTATGGGTTTTGTGAAAAATAATAGAATTTAATAATGGGTGAAATAAGTTTATTCAGTTTGCTAATAATTTTACTTTTAAATATATTCTTCCTGTAATGATGAAAGATTTGGAATTCTTTGAATATTTTCTTAAATGAGATATTTGTACAACTGAGATAAAGTTGATGTTTATACTTATGAAGGATTCCTCCCCATTCAAGTTTTACCCTCTGTTGGAGAGTTAAGAAATGGTGTTTTCAAAGGAGCAGCATAAGTAAAATATTTTCCTTTAGATTCTCTTTTAGGTATAACTGCTTTTCATTTGGCTATTATGGTAGTGGATTAAAAAAATACATTAAAAATATTTTGGGGCAGCTTCTGGATGTTTTGAAATCATTTGTGCTGCCTAAAAGACCTTAATGTGTGCATTTTTCATAAGCTGTTATTCACCAGCATCTAATTGATTCAATGTGGATATAAAAAATGTTTTGAAGGATAAGCTATGAGTGTTTTATGATTTTATAACTTGGGCAGCTAATGAACATGCTAACATTTTTTAGGAGAGGTCAGCAAAAACATTTTGCCTTATAACATTGGCTGGTTTTAGCTGTCTTCACATTAGTGATCACTTTCTTGAACTGTGAAAATTATAAAGATAATGAAATGGAGGTCTACCATATTTTATAAAGTGTTTTATTTCTATAAACCAAAAACATGGATCAATACTCTTATTTTGAGAATAAATTAGGGTCAATATAAGTTTTTAAAAAATTTATTTATTTATTTGAGAGAGAGAGAGAGAGAGAGAGAGAGAGAGAGAGTGTGTGTGTGTGTGTGTGTGTGTGTGTGTGTGTGTGTGTACACAGAGGGGGGAGGGGCAGAGGGAGAAAGAGCCCTAAGCAGACTGTGAGCTGAGTTGCAAGGCTCAGTCCCACAGACGCTGAGACCACAACCTGAGCCGAAACCTGAGTTGGATGCTCAACGACTGCACCACCCTGGCGTCTCTAAAAATATGCCCAATATGTCTTAAATTAACTTTTCTTCCATCAAAAAAAAAAGCGATGGACATTTTTCAGAAAGACTTTTTTATGTGTTTGAATATGTTTTGATGACTGTATTAGAGGTCCCCCCAAGACCACCTCCAGGTTTGATGATTTGCTAGGACTTGCAAAACTTAGTCATGTAGTCATAACTAAGATTTCTCATAGCCAAAGAACACAAAGCAAAATCAGCAAGGGAAAAGGGTATATGGAGTAAAGTTCAGAGGAAACCAGGTTCAAACTTCCAAGAATTCTCTCCCAGTGGAGTCACATAGGATGTGCTTAATTCTCCCAGGGTGATGACAACATCTGTAAATATTGCCTACCAATGAAGCTCATTAGAGGCTCATTCTCAGGGTTTTTTATGGGGATTGGTCATGTAGGTACCTTCTGCTAGCAGGTAACAAATTTCAGACTTCCAGGAAAAAAGCAGTAATTCAGCAGAAACTATATCGTTTACACAATTTAGGCACATGATCTGTTCTTATCAGGAAGGGTGAGAATCCTCCCCAAATCCAAGTTCCCAGATACCGGCCAAGAGTCAACTTTGCAAGCAAGCCTTTTCTAAGTGTAGCAGTTTTAGGCCTGCTATGTTAACTCTTCTGTACAATACCATTGTACCGAATGATTCAGAGTGAATGTTACAGAATATAGGTAAATATCAAGTACAGTATGTAAGTGACCTAACTGATGGTTATTTTCAACCACCATGAGGAACAGTGATAAGTATCTTCAAAAACTTTTCAGTGTCCATTTTATTCACTCTAGACAAACCATTAGAAACTTTGCAAAGGAAATGATTCTATAGCTATCGTGACATTGTTAGCTTCTGTTCTTCAGGGGCAAGTTTTACATAAGACAGGAGATTTAGATAAAATTATAGTGATAAGATTGATAAGGTATACAAACTGCAGGAATTCATCTTAAAATAATCAGTAATTTAGGCTGAAAAAATGACAGTGAGAAATTCTGGCATTATTTTAAATGAAAGGAAGTGTGATTACTTTTAAGTGACTACAAAGTGTTAGGTAGATATGGGTGAGCTTATCTTGAAGACTCATTTGATATTAGTACTTTACTGTTCATACACAAATAAATGTTCATGAGATGCTTCAAAAAATTTATTACAAAAGTCTCTTTCATACAATTTGTTTATACTTTCAACACACCTTTTCTTCCTAAGTAGAATAAGGTCAGCTTTGCCCCACATGATAAATCACATGGCGGTATTACATTTCTTTATTGGCAGTATGTGATAATAGGACCATGGGTTAAAATGTAGGAAAATGTAAATTGTGATAATGGAACTAAGTCTCCTACCTTTTTTTCTAAAGATTTTATTTATTTGAGAGAGAGAGGGAGTGAGAGAGAGAGCAAGATCCTGGGATCATGAGCTGAGCCAAAGGCAGACGCTTAATCGACTGAGCCACCCAGGCACCCCAAGACTCCTACTTTTAATTTGCTTTCCAGTTGAAGTAAGATGTTTATCACCTTAAGAAACAAAATTGGTTCCAGATACACTCATTGTGTAATTTAATGTGGATAAACATGGTTCCTACATTTAGGAAACAAAGAATCTGAGGATTAAAATAAAATTGTTTATAATGAGTACAGCAGAATAATCTTTAGCTAAATATTCAAAACAAAACTGCAAAGATGATGAAAGGGTTAAAAATTAACACCAGCAGTGAAAGTGAATTGATATTATGACTTCCAGAGGATAGGATAAGGATCAGAGATAGCACCAAGTAAATTCTACCAGATATGAAGTTTGTCTTCTTCATACCCAGCTGCTTCTCCTTTCTTTCCCATACTGAGAACCTCCATGCTATGAATCCTGCCAATTCCATGGTTCTGCAGGCTGCCCTTTCTCTGTTCCTCACCACAGTCACCAGACCTTTGTATCCACATACTTATCTTGTGACTTATTTTTTAACTTAATGCATTTCTGAATTCCCAGGATTGTTTCTGCACTTCACGAACCCAAGTTGAATCACTCAGACCTGAAAAACAGTCTGAAACCAGTATCCATCAACACTTGGTAAGAAAATGGTTAAGTACAATTAATATTCCTCCTCTGCTTTCTGTAGTATCATAGTACAGAATGTAATTCCTGGTTCTTCCATATCTCTTTTTCTTTACAGTATCTTTTACTGTTTCTTTTTCCTCTATTTCTGTTATTCTCCAGAAGTCTACAGTTGACCTCTTCTGCCTAAATAGGCACTCCCCTAAGCAGCACCTGTTCCTAGGTTTCAGTTGCTCAAATATCAGACTGTCCTGTAGCTACCTCAGGTTTTCCTTCAGGTCATGAGGGGACTCTGGCATCAAGCAGGACTGGTGATTCTCAGATTTTTACCTATAACCCCACACTCTTTCCTGGGCACCGGAAGTGTCTATAGAATGCCTCCAATTAGACTTTTCAAAGGCATTTCTATGCAGTTTGAGTAAAACCTTAATCTGTCAAACTTCTCTGACCCCTTGTATTCTTTTCTTTGGCTAATGAAAACCCATCTACTAAGTCACCCTAAATAGAAACTTTGAAGTTATCCTGACAGTTGCCTCTACCCCCCCATATCTAGTTATACACCAAGTCTTTTGTCTCTGTCTCTGAAATGCCATTGGGTGCATACCTCCTTCACCTCATCACCGCTACTACCCAGATCTCATCATTTCTTGCCTGGACAATTGCAGGTAGACACATTGCCTCTGGTTTCCTAGGTAAACGTCCTCTCACACTCAGATCAGAATTCAACCTTGTTACCAGTACAGGCCTGTTTGTGTTACTTTCCAGCTTTAAAACTTTCTTTGGTTTCCTGCAGCCTATGGGATTAAAGCTGAAACTTATTAGCATAGTATAAGGACTCTTAATGGTGTAGAATAGGTCTAATTTTTGAGTTTCATTTCTTGCTACTGAGTCTTAGCATATATTCTTTTTTTGTGATTGAAATACCCTTTTTCTGCCTCCCAAATCCTTCCTCATTTGTGAAAAGTTGGCTCAAATATCGCATATCTGAAGCCTTTCCTCTTGTATTTTTTGTTCCATTATGCTCCTACAAATCTTAGACATTCCCAGAAAATGGTATTTATTATATTACTTCACAGTGATTGATATACGTGTCTCTCTAACTATAACATGATTCCCATAAAATAGGCGTCCTGCCTTTTTCATCTGTATTTCCCCTGGGCAATGCCTGATATATTAAGTAATATTTTGAAAAACATGCTTGGGAATAAATATTTCTCTGGGGTCCTCCCTTTCTTAATCCTTACTTTATTCTTCAATTCTTACTACAAAACAGAACCTGCCTTGCAAATGCCTTGTTTCCTACAAAATAAGGTAATCCCAGTTTTTCCTGTTGATAAGTTTATCTTGATCCTCTATTCAGTTGTCTTCATTTTTCTCATTTTACTACTTACTCTAATATTCTAAAGTTTTTTAGTCTTCTGCCCTTTTGTGTAATAGAATATATTATTCAATCCTAGTTTTCATTCAAGTATTACCCTTCAGATTGAGGTAAAGTGTCTGTTGTTGTCTCCTTGCTATTACCAAGAGAGAGGTCTTAAACTTCAGGAAACTTGCACACGTGCTGCTGTGTGTGTGTTTTTCTGTTTTGTTTTGTTTTGTTTGGCCTTCTGTTAAAATATACATAAAATTTACCATCTTAGCCATTTTTAAGTGTACATTTCAGTGGCATCAAATACATTCATAGTGTTGTGCAGCTGTTACCACCATCCATCTCTGTAACTCTTTTCATCTTGTAAAAGTGAAACTGTGTATCCATTAAACAATAACTCCCCATTCTCCCTCCCTCCCTAGCCTCTGTCAACCACCATTCTACTTTCTATGATTTTTGACTACTCTTAAGTACCTCATATAAGTGGAATCATACTGTATTTGTCTTTTTTGTGACTGAGTTATATTTCACTTAATGTTCAGGTCCATTTGTGTTGTAGCATTTTGCAGAATTTCCTTTTTTTTTTTTTTAAAGATTTTATTTATTTGAGAGAGAGTGCACACGTGTGGGTAGGGGCAGAAGGAGAGGGAGAAGCAGATTCCCTGCTGAGCAGGGAGCCCAACATGGGGCTGCATTCCAGTACCCTGGGATCATGACCTGAGGTGAAGGCAGATGCTTAACCGACTGAGCCACCCAGGCGCCCCACAGAATTTCCTTATTTTTTAAGGCTGAAAATGTTCCATCATATGTATATACCACGTTTTGCTTATCCATTCATCTGTTGATGGACACTTGGGTTGCTTTCACTTTGTGGCTATTGTGAATAATGCTGCTATGAACTTAGGTGTGCAAATATCTCAAGACTTGATTTCATTTCTTTGGGTGTACCCAGAAATGGAATTACTGCATCATATGGTAATTATATTTTAATTTTGGGGAAAACCACCATACTGTTTCTACACTGGCTCTACCATTTTGTATTCCCACCAAGAGTGCACAAGAATTCCAGTTTCTCTACATCCTAGCCAACACCTCTCTATTTTCTGTTTTTTGATACCAGCCAACCTAATGGGTGTGAGGTGATACTGTAATTTTGATTTACATTTCCCTAATGACTAGTGATGTTGGGCATCTTTTCATGTGCTTATTGGCCACCTGTATATCTTCTGTGGAGAAATGTCTATTCAAGTCCTTTGCCCTTTTTTTAATTGGGGTTGTTTGCTTTTTTTGTTGTTGAGTTTTAAGAGTTCTGTATATTTTCTGGATATTAACACCTTACCAGATATTTACAAATGTTTCTCCCATTCTGTGGGTTGCCTTTTAACTTTGTTGGTAGTATTTTTTGATGCACAAAATTTAAAAATTTACATGAAGTCTACTTTCTTTTTCTTTTGTTTCTTATACTTTTGCTTTCATATCTGAGAAATCCTCTCTAAATCCAATGTCATAAAGCTTTTGCCCTATTTTTTCTTCCAAGAGTTTTATTGTTTTAGGTATTAAATTTAGGCCCTCGATACATTTTGAGTTAATTTTTGTATATGGTGTTTGATCAGAGTCCAACTTCATTCTTTTGCATGTGGATATACACTTTTCCTAGCACCATTTGCTGAATATACTGTCCTTTATTGAATGGTCTTTTTTTTTAAATTTTATTTATTTGGAGAGAGGCACAGTGGGAGAGGGAACACAAACAGGGGGAGTAGGAGAGGGAGAAGCAGGCTTCCTGCTGAGCAGGGAGCCCGATGTGGGGCTCGATCCTAGGACCCTGGGATCATGACCTGAGCAGAAGGCAGATGCTTAACGACTGAGCCACCTAGGCGCCCATATTGAATGGTCTTGACACCCTTGTCAAATGCCATTTGACCATATATGTGACAGTTTATTTCTGGGCTCTCTATTCTCTTCCATTGGTCTATATTTCTGTCTTTATTTTGGTGCCATGTTGTTTGATTACAATTGCTTTGTAATAGGTTTCAAAATCAGGAAGAGTGAGGCCTCCAATTTTGTTGTTTTTCAAGATTATTTGAATTACTCAATGTCTTTTGAGCTTTTAACAGTATTAAGTCTTCCAGTCAATGAACATGAAATGTGTCTCCTTTTATTTATGTCTTCCTAAATTTCTGTTAGCAATGTTTTATAGTTTTCATTGTACAACTCTTTCACTTCCTTGGGTTGGTTTAATTTCTAAGTATTTTATTGATGTTTTAATGATTACTTTTGCAGATTATTCATTAAGCAGGTCTTCTGAATTTTTAGGGCTAATAAAAAGTTTAACAAGAACAAGGAGTGTGCCATGAGTTTTTTTAAATTCTAGTCTATTTAAAATAAAGTGTTATATTAGTTTCAGGTGTGTGGTGTAGTGATTCAGCAATTCTATACATTACTCATTGTTCATCATGATAAGTGTGCTTCTAATCCCCTTTACATATTTCACCCATCCACACCCCCTACCCACTGCCCCTCTGGTAAACACCAATTTGTTCTCTATATTTAAGTTTGGTTTTTTTGTTTGTCTCTTCTTCTTTGTTCATTTCTTTCTTATATTCCACATATGAGTGAAATAATATGGTATTAATCCTTCTCTGACTTATTTCACTTAGCATCATTCCCTCCAGGTCCATCAATGTTGCAAATGGCAGGATTTCATTATTTCTTATGACTGGATAATATTGTATTGGGTATACATACCACATCTTCTTTATCCATTCATCTGTCAATGGACACTTGGGTTGCTTCCATATTTTGGCGCTTGCAAATAATGCTGCAATAAACATAGGGGTGCATATATCTTTTCAAATTAGTGTTTTCATACTCTTGGGTAAATACCCAGTAGTGGAATTATTGGATCATATGGTAATTCTTTGTTAATTTTTTGAGGAAGCTCCATACTGTTTTCCACAGTGGCTGTACAGTTTGCATTCCTACCAAGAGTGCAAGAGGGTTTCTTTTTCTCCACAACCTTGTCAACACTTGTCATTTCTTGTGTTTTTGATTTTAGCCATTCTGACAGATAATGAGGTGATATCTTACTGTGGTTTTGACTTGCAGTTCCCTGATGATTAGTGATGTTGAGCATCTTTTCATGTGTCTGTTGCCCATCTTATGTCTTCTTTGGAGAAATGTCTGTTCATGTCTTCTGCCCATTTTTTAATTGGATAATTTGTTTTTTGGGTGTTGAGTTGTATAAGTTCTTTATATTTTTGGATATTAGCCCCTTAACAGATACATCTTTTGCAAATATATTTTCCCATTCGGTAGGTTGCTTTTTGTTTTGTTGATTATTACCTTTGCCATGCAGAAGCTTTTTATTTGGATGTAGTCTCAATAATTTATTGTTTTGTTTGTTTCCCTTGCCTCTGGAGACATATGTAGAAAAATGTTGCTATGGCTGATGCCAGAGAAATTACTACCTGTGCTCCCTTCTAGGATTTTTTTGGTTTCAGGTCTTATGTTTAAGTCCTTAATCCATTTTGAGTTTGTTTTTGTGTATGGTATGAGAAAGTGGTCCAGTTTCATTCTTTTGCATGTAGCTGTCCAATTTCCCAACACTGTTGAAGAGACTGTCTTTTTCCCACTACATACGCTT